CAGCCAACCCCCGGCACTCTGGTCGGATTATTTTACAAATTGCCTCTCAGATTTCCGTGCAACAGCAGACCACCCTGGTCAGATTAATTTACAGATCCAATTACAGATTGCAACCGCCTAATAAGCGAAGACACTTGGAAAGAACAGATTGAATCTCAAATTCTGCACAGATTTAATTTCTGAACCATACCCCAAGCAATACCACAAATCGACCTTACAATGTTAACATGAGCCCTCTCAGTGAAGTACGTAAAAACGGCGGCACGACACAATATTTCGGAATTTCCTTTACTCGTTAACATCTTGCTTTCGGTTTGTGGGTAGATGTCTCGTAGGCCGCCTGCAGCAACAAATTGCATACGTACACTGGACAAGGAGCACACCAACACGCCGACACTTACTTCAAGAGGAGAGGATCCAAGATTTGGTGAAAATGATGGACTGTAGCGATGCCGTAAGATGTCACCGATGCACTGATGATCTCAGGCTCCTTTGGATGTAAAACTGAGGCCATGAAGCTTTCAAAGACGAAAGTGGAGAGCATGTACTGTTGAAGTTCTATCAATCAGACAACACGCATATCCAGCAAGGTATGAAATGTACATCGCGTACAACATCTGCCCACGATTGCCCACGGTCAATACCGACATCTGTGCACCGTGGTCGGATGAGTGTGCGACATGTTCGACAAGTTCACCGGCTCTGAACCCGAATGATTTGGGCCCGCGGCTTCAAGGAAACCCCCGCTCTCTGAGACGCAGTGGAATGGGGCAACACATGGTCAGTGGTCGGGGCCGATGTGGTGACGCTCTACTGTAAGGGTGTCAACTGACCAGGAGCGTCGTGGCGACATCCACATCTTGGCCCAGAGGAATACTTGCTGCAAACAGACGTCCTGAAAAAAGCTTTGGGGGTCGCGATCAGTTGAAGAAGCCTCATGAAGCTCTCAGACAGAGCCCTGACATGAGCCAGGAGACCTCCTCGCAACCTCGCTCCCTGGCCCCATCCCTCATGTCGCGGGTGTTCGCAATTCTCAGTTTGGATCTTTGTGCGAGCGAGTGCCCTTGAAGCGATTCTGAACTAATCCGACAACGGATTCTGCGGCCCTTGCATCAAAGTACGAGCACCGTAGTATCAACAGGCTACAAAGCTCCTCATCCAAGGCATACTGTCTTACGCGTCTCTCCTGTACAAAGGTGGTACGCAAGCCCCGACCTGGACGGAGCTACAGGACTACATGAAAGGATGTATGAAAAGTCACGGCTCAAATACCCTGAAAATCGTATATACCTCTACACACACTTACGAAAACTGAGAAAGCAAACAAAGTTGTGCTTTCTTGTGCAACCTCTTGTAAATCTCCATGCTTGGCCCCCGCCTTGTTGGGATGATTCGGCGAACTCGCCTCTAAGTATATGTAGTAGCCACCATCGAATGCTCCTGAAGGTCCTGTGTCCCAGGTCGGTGTCGTGCCAGTTCTCCGCATCCAAGCCTCCGCTGGTTAGACACTGCACTGCTCCTAGGAGCCGGCTGTGTTTTGGAAAGATGCCGCTACGAGGTAAGAAAATGCCTGTTGCCACTCCAAGCCCTTGGGCTGAACTTAATCTTTATTACAGCTCTTTTTGTTCATGCGATGCTTTTCGGAATCAGCGTGATTCGGCACGAGATGGAGGAGCCAAGAACTACGCTAACTACGTGAACGATTTCACGAGGCGTTTGAACCGAATAGTTGCTGCTCCCCGTTTCGGCACCCTAAGGCTGAAGCAGAGGTGCTTGTGGCATGAGAGCAAGCAAACAGTGTAAAGTGCGCCTGGTCATTCATGGCTCTCCAGCTACAAGAGTCGGTCTCAAAGCTGCAGGCCACGGTATCGTAGTTCGGCAATTCGGCGGCCGTTGAGGAGAAATTGGAAGTCTGCAGCGAATCTAAAGCTAAAGCCACATCGCTTTCATACCCGTTCCTTGTGATCCCGAGGAAGCGCAATACTTGCGCATCATGCGGCAATCGTACGTCAGCTCGATTCCAGACACCGCACTGGCCACCAGGCGGTGACCACAATGTGATCCAGTTCGCGCCATCCCAAGATTGAAACATCAGGCGGCCCATTTCCGATCTATGAATGTGATAGCGAAAGTTTACGTGCCTCTCTTCGCTGTCGACCGTTGCGAACTCGGGGCTCTCAATTGCAAACACCTGCACATGAAGGGATGCGATGCATTGCACAACATAGGTCGGCACGCTCATTTACGATGTTGCTTGTCTTCGAGCGCGGGTGTGTGTGGGCGTGTGTGTGCGCACACGAATGTATGAAGAGGTATGTATGTATACATACACATGAACACGCACATATGCATGCACATATGCACGCACATAATTATGCACACACACACACATGTCGATATACACACGCACGCAGGCTTACACATGCACATATATATATATATATATATATACAAAACGGGAGACTGTGAGAGTGCGCTTTTTTGCGTGTTTTACGCGCTCCCACACACACCAATCACACATAACCACATCGACGGATAGTATAACCCACGCAGACTCCGAACGGCACGAAAAAACATCAAAAAACCAAAGACATCCAAAAAAACAAAAAAACATCAAAAAAAAGGAAACATTAAAACAAAAAACAAAACAGTTAATAAACCATATATATATATGTAATATATGTACATACAGAGGCATATGCATAGACTTAAATGGAGGAAAAAAAAGAGAAGAGGGAGGGAGGAGACAAAGGTAGTCGCCTGCAGACTCTTGCTTAGCAGACATTCGGTCTTCTATACTTGTGGCTTCAGATGGAACCGTTTTTGCCGGAACATCGATGCATCTTTCGTATACCCCACCTGCCTGACCTTCCATGAATCTTAGGTTCTTCTGTACAGGTTTTGGGTGTGTGTGTGTGCGCATAAATATGTATATTTAACTACATGTATGTATAGATATATATATATATATGCATACATACATGCGTACGTACGTACATACATACATGCATGCATACATACATACACACATACATGCATACATACATGTATTCGTGCACTTATGGCTTGTGAACTTCATGTCTTTGCAAGTGCTATCCCTGCGCCAAGACGTGTAAGCTGCGTATGCACGTGCGTTTGTCCTGCGCATGTGTGTGTATGTGTGTATGAACTTCCTTAGCTCGATAAAAGGGTCACTCCTAATTGTGTCTGCCGTTTCGTTATGCAAGGGGACACAGAATGTCTCTGGGATTGTGTCCAACGAAGCTACCAGTGACTTGGGAACAGAGGTCTGATCATCCTTTTGTACCTGCAAGGCAACCCCCTGTGGTGCCCAGCTTAGAAAAGAGGACAACCCCCCCCTGTGGTGTCCAGATGAGCTTTTTGCAGCAGCCACTGCTGGTGCATGACAGCTAACAACAACTCCTCCTCAACCCGCTTCTCTGCTTTCCTCTTGCTCTTGCCGAAATCCCAGAAGGGTGCCGGAGACCCTGTTAACAACGGCTTTCCCTCATGGCGCCGTGGTGGCCCTGCGGGGTAGCTGGCCAGGAGCCAGATACCGAGGTGATTCTTCGGGCTGATGGGCTGACACTCCCAAGCACCTGTTCTAACCGGAACTGATCCGGGCAGCGCCATGTGCGGATGGCGGCATGTGCATCTGACACAAGGGCATGTGCAGTAACGGTGCGTCTAGTGCAAGTGCAGGTGCGCAGGATTACCTCCATTATTCTGTTCTTATTCTATCGCTTCTCTTCTCAGGGAACGCAAGTGCATGTGAGTCCTGTGGTGTCCAGATCAGTTTTTGCAGCAGCCGTCGATACAGGAAAAACAACAACCCCGCCTCACCCCTCTTCTCTGCTTTCCTCTTGCACTTGCCGAAATCCCACAAGTGTAAGCTGAAAGCTCTTCACTTGTGCCTCAGCTAACGAAGACCGCAAGTGTAAGGATGTGTATCCGTACCTGCAGAGTTGCACTTGGATCCCGTTGTGGATAGCTGGTGGACTCGACAGAACAGTGTGCGCATGTTCAGACTGTCTTGCAACTCTATTTAGAATGACTGATTCTCCCTGAAGCTGAACGCCCCATCATCTGATTCTACACAATTGGCTTGAGGCCTGGGACACATTGTGCCAAGTGTATGTGTCTGTGTCTGTGTCTGTACACACCTGAACGTTGTGCCAACCAAAACGCAGGGGAGTTCAGAGGGCGGAGGCAGTCTGGGGGGTTCCACCTAATGAAGCTCTCCCCCACATGCCGGCAGCTGGGGGATACCCACTCTGCCTCTTGCCATCGCTTCTTCCTGACCGTGGGGTACCTGCGTCCCTAAACAAGGGCCTCGAATGGTGCTGCTGCAGAAGACGAATGTCCGTTGCGACGGGAGACACTCTCAAGCGCCACGCTCCGTGGATGCACAACCTTGCTCATCTTCGTCTGCGGCGAAGGTTGCGATGTCAGGACTGCCGCACAGCTTTGCCGTGCTGTCCCTTGACAGCTCTGGGGCTTTGGCTATGCACTTCTACTCTGGCGGCTCGATCCAACATCCTACATACACACATGCGTGCACGCATACATTCATACTTTCGTACATTCATACATTCATACATTCCTACAATCATACATACATTCCTTCCTTCCTTCATTCATGAATTCATTCATTCGGTGAGTCTGTCAGTCACTCAGTCAGTCAGTCAGTCAGTCAGTCAGTTAGTCAGTCATTCCGTCCGTCAGTCTGTCCGTTCGTCCGTCCCTCCGTCAATCCGTCCGTCCGTCATTCCATTCCATTCCATTGCGTTGCATTCCATTGCGTCCCTTTCTAATATAGTCCAGTCCTGATTATTTCCTTCCCTTCCGTTCCATTCCCTTCCCTTCCATTCCAGTCCAGTCAGTCCAGTCACGTCCCGTCCATTCCAGTCAGTCAGACAGTCATTCAGTCGTACATACATACACACATCCATACATCCATCCCACATGTACATGGGTCGCATGCAACCGGCATTTCCAGCCTGGACTCTTTGAGATGCTGCTTCTTGCCTCAAAACGAACGGCGTTTGCCCGCTCTATAACACTGATGCGCAGCAGTGTGCCAGGGAGAAGGCGCATCTCGCAAAACCTGCTCCGGCAAAGCCAGCCACGACAGACGCACGCTGACGAAATCTTATGTCAACATGCCTCCAGCTCGCGCTTGGCCATGGTCAAATCGGTTCCGCTTGAAAGAGCCTCGATGCGATGCCACGGGCACCCGAAGTTGTACTGCAGAAGTATACAGCCTGGCTGCATCTGCAAGGGCAAGTCGTAACTGTCGTGCCTCCTTGTCCACAGACCTCAAGCGCAATTATCAGAATGACCAGTCGCAGGATGTCGCGAAACCAGGCAGGAATTATGAGATGCCGACGCCAAGGATTCTCGGTACCTCCCCGCTGCTGTGAATCATAAGACTGGAGCTTTGCAAGTTGCCTGAAGTATGCTTCTTTCGCAGCCAAAGCAGCCTTTTCTTGGTCAAGCTTTCGCTTTCGTTGACTCCCATCAAGCATGAACGCGAAGCTCCCTGGACATTAACCCTTGCTCGATGAGGCAGGCACGACCGTGCTTCTCTCTCGCGGATCTGCACGTCCTGCGGATGCTTAAGCACCCCGCTTGATAGAAGATTTCGCAAGCCCAGTGTGATGACGTGCATGTCCCTCGTACCTCTACCGAAACCATGTGAAGTAGACCTGGGGAAGCACGGGCAACCCGACATCCAAGGCTGATTGCTGAGGCAGGTGCGCTTCTCTGCAGTTCCAGCGGCTGCCTAGACAGGCAGACCAAAGACTTTTCCCAGACATGAGTTGAAAGTTCATATCTCTGACTTGTTTGCCCTCCTCCGCAGCTGCCACTGATTGTTGCTGGAGCTGCAGTCGCGCTTCCTGAAGCGCAACTCCACTAAGTTTCCATGTTGCAGGACAAGCATGGTCCACCTGCGAGGACAACAAGCAATTATTCTGCGAGCACCGAAAACAGGCCTCCTCTTGCAGCTCGGCAGCTGCGGCCTGGAGTGTGCTCTTCCGTGCTCTGATGACTTTTATCCGACCGGTCAAACCTTCCCCCTGTCTTGGTGGCCAAGGATCATTGGCTGCATCGGCCGCAGCAGCGGCGGCTCGGCGCACAGCTTCCAGCTCCTCCTCCTGCTGGCAGATGCCTCGAAGCGACAGGCAGAGCGATCTCAGGTAGTTGAGATCTCCTGGGGCTACGGCCGGATTCTATTTCAAGCTTCTGGTGTTTCAGAGTTTCAAGTCGCGCCTGCTTTGCTAGCGGTCCACAAAACAGAGCCAACTTGTCCAACTACCAGCACTTGGCCTGGAGTTCACGGTGCTTGGTTTCAGCATCCTATGCAGACGGGATGCTGACTGAGCTCCCCAACTGAGTCTAAAAGCTTCGTACAGCCTCTGCAGCGCCACCACGCAGTAGTCGGTCACGCTCGCCTGTCGACTGCTTCGCAGGCAACATTGCTTCACACGGGCACAGGGACCGTCACTATGCTGTGAGATCCAAACCCTCTCGCAACAACACGACATGCAACAGTGTACTCACTAAACGAAGGGACAGCCAGGCCTGTCAGCGACTGCACCTTCTGTTGAAGCCTGTGCTCTCATGAGTTGTTTCTTCGCTTCGGCTGCCACGCTGCTGTCGGGTGATTCTTTTAATTCTCGCAGGGCCTCTCCACGTCGGCGCGCAACTCTGCGCGTTCGCGCTCACTCTGAGCCTAAGCACGAGGCAAACATCAGTAAATCCTGTCCTCGACCTGTTACCTCACCGGGTCGGCCACAATCGTCTCCCGCTGCGTAGCAACCTGTAGGAAAAGCAGGTATTCTGTGGCTCCGAAGGGTTCTGCACGCTGGACACTTGAATCCTCATCGCCACACCACAGCCCGACCCATCATTCTCATTCTGCCCCCTCCAGCTCACGGTCCGTGTAGGGCGAACCAAGTGCAGAGGAGCCGCCACAGAAACGTGCATCACAAGCGTAAGACACGCATGGCACCCCAGACGCACAAGGACACACAAAAGGCAACTTCTGAGCAGCTTCTGTCAAACTAAGAGTGCCTCCGAAACGATGCTTGCAGGCGGGCAGGATCATTGTCAAATCACCTTCTTCGACAGCTACCAATACTGACACACGTAGCAGTATCGGAAAACTATCCGAAACACCTGCTGCAGTTATGCCAGGACCGTCGATTCCCGAGTGTCATGACATGACTACGCGACTGTGCATACAATGTCCACTGACGGGCATCATTGCGTAACAAAACCGAATTGATATTTTCCATCTTGAAACTTGCGATGAGTTGATGAGTTACATCGGGTGGCTATTGGGGCACTGCCAGGCCATGTGTCATTGTCAGGTTCGCACGGATGGCTTCGAAGAAGGCAGCGTCTCCTCAAGTCACTGTGCCGAGAAGATCCGCCTCCGCCGACGGATAAAGGACAAAGTCGCAACACTAACGCCCAAGGGCTGTTGAAGAGGTTGCCCACCGAGGGCTCGTGATTCCCAACCTGTTCACCCGATCACAGGCCCTCATAACACACCCTTCAACCACACTTTCAATTGTCGTTGCAACAACAGCCGCAGGCATTTTGCAACCATCGCAGGCTATTGAATGGCTAGTTGGCACAAGCAACAACCCGGGTGCTAGCTGATCAGCACCGTTTACTCAGTTTACTCTACTCCAGCGTGGGATCGAGCGGCATCACTGATCCAGAAAGACACTTAACTTACGGAGAGCAAGACAGACGAGACCCACCAACCCCAGAATCTGTACCAAGCTCTCTTGCGTCGCTTGCGTCGCTTGCGTCGCTTGCGTCGCTTGCGTCGCTTGCGTCGCTTGCGTCGCTTGCTCTTGCTCCGTTTTCCCGCTGCTTTTGTCCGAAGTTTGGATTATTGCATACTGATGTAAGCATTCGCTCTCGGGTGCTCGATTTGCCGGGTGCTGAGTGTTTGCCGGGGTTGGGGTTTTCGGGGGTCGTCCAGTCCCGTTTGTTCGTGCTGGATCTCGCTTGGCTTCGGGTCCCGGCTCTTTCTGCCGGGTTTGCGGCCTGCCGGGCTGGAAGGCTGGCCGACGGAGCTGAGGGTGGGTCTGCGCACGTGCATTTTATCTATGGCACGTCCACCCTCCGGGCACGGGTTTTTTGTAGTGCGCAAACACTGTTTTTCCTAGACCGTTTGCAGTTCGCTTGCGTTGCATGTTTCTTCAACATGTATTGTGCTTGCTGCGCGCACAAGAGATTGCCTCCAATTCATCCGGTGACTATCCAAACCTGGGTTGGCATGGCTTACTCACCGCCACACCCCCTGCAGGTTGAATTGACGTGTCTACACACAACCTTATGACCAGAATTGAACTAAGTAAGACACGGCTGAAAGAGGCAACACACATTGCCTGCAAGTTCAGAGCCCCTGCAAGCGCATGTACAACAGCAGTGCTGGGACAGGAAGTCTTAGAACGCATGTGAAGCAGCAGCGCAGACACTTAAAAGCAGTGCAGGGGGTGCGTCATGGCCCTCGGTCTTCTGTACACAGGTGTTTTCAAGGTGGTTTGGTTGGTCCCCGTAAAGTGCTCCTTGATGAGAGAAGTTCCTTTGTTTGTTGCCTGAAGAAGATGCTGGCTATGCTGACTTTGCATATGCAAGAGAACTAGAGTCGTCAATCCGAGTTTGATGTCGAGCGTCAGCCTCGCGAGTTCACCCTCAAGTATGGCCACTGATTTCGACGTATCAAGGTTGACTGCGTCATTGAGCCTCTCCATCATCACGATGTGTTTGCCCTTATGTGGAACTGCTTGTACGACGCATGGGCTGCTGCCGGGCTTCTTCACTTGCCTCCCTGCCGGTGGGTAAGTTTTACGTTCGTCTTGAGGTCAGCCGAAGCCTTTGGAGTGTGGTCTGCTGCTACGGCACGACACTGCCCGACCTCGCGAAGGCCCCAGGCCCACTAGAGTTTCATCTGTGATCTATCCTGTTTGGTCCTCTCTCAGGTCCGAAGAGGTGTTTAGGTGGTCCAATAGAGCGTTTCCCTTCAAATATTCTTGAAGGGCTAAGATGCTTCGGAACTTCTTGATCTGACGAGTACGTGTGCGGCATCAGGCAGCGACGCCGCAAATGCGGCTTGTCTTGTTTCAACCAAACTATGGTGTCAAGTTAGGCAGTGCCTTTGGAAGCAAGGTTATGTCTACTAACTCTGCGGCGGTACACCGGTGTAGCATCTCTATTCTGATGGTTAACTCGTGGTACTCTGTGTTGAGGGATGTTGTCTCCCAGAATTCTCCGCAGGTCTCATTGTCGTGGTGTATATGGAAGATTGTAAAGTCTGCGGCCAGCCAAAGCTTTATCGAAACTGCAGGTCAAGTAACTGATCCCTCCAAGTCCAGGATTCTCACCAGGAAGCAACAGCAGGTCCAACGCTTGTTCTGAACACTACCTTTTTCCGTGCAACGAAGCATGTCAAATCTTTAGGATACTTTACACCGCGCTGAGACACGCAGATAGGCTAAGAATAGACTCAGGACTTTCGGGTTGACAAGGCAGTAAAAGTTGCTAAAAAGGTAGCTTGTTTGCCGGCTTCCCCGCGGGACGACAGTTTCCATGCAAATGCGAATGTCACAGTGTGACTTGCATAAGTTGTGGACTGCAGCCATCAACATATTTGTGGCGAAGAAGCATCGTTTGCGTTGTCCATTCATGTTCCTGTGGTCCCACCGCGACTCACCCCTTCTTAGTTCATTTCTCTAACTGGACCCTGAATGCTTTTCCAGGAATTAAGGAAGTTGTCCTCTGCCAGGAGTCGCAACGGACCGTTGTGGATCCTGCCGCTTTTCAGTTTGCCGCACAAGTCATGCAGACTAGGTCTACATGTTAGTAGCAATGATTTTCAAAGCTATATCTTTCTCCGTCGTCCCCTAACAAGCAACACAACTCCTGAGAGGCCCAAAGTCGGGTCCCTGATATGTGTTCGACTCGTTTTCTGTCTGACCACAATTTCTTCACCACAATTTCTTCAGTGATGGGGATTGGAAATTTAGCACACCGTACGTTGAGCTTTCGCCCCCATCTCATGAACATACCCGCAACATTCTTCAGCCTTTGGTTTGAAGGTCGACATTTATACGGCCAAGGCTGCAAGCGAAGATCTCTCGTGAGAAAGAGACTCACAAGCCCCCGTGGTTCGCGAGTTATAGACCAATCCTGGGAGGTGAGGCCTTTCTGCCATGGACTACCGGCACTCTGGCTGAATCTGAGGATTGGTTCCAACTGAAAATGAACAATGCTCTTACTTGATGTCCCATTCAAAGCAACCAGCTCGGAACCCATGTTTGTCGAGGGCAGCTGCTATTGTCAGCAGTGGAAAGCACTTCAGCATCTCTTTTGCAAGAACAAGACACAGTTGCACGAAAGTTTGACAATGCTGATCTTTGGTGTCTCTTTTACCAGGGCCTCGTAGGCAAGGGAAACTCCAGCTCTCATAGATCGTTTTTGGGTCTCATGTGGCGTTTGTCGTGGGTGCAGCGTGTGTGGCGTTGAACGGCCCGTTGAAGATAATATAACTTGACTCTGAGGCATGAGGGGGTGGTCGACAAAACACGTAAGGGCACCGGCGCAACACTGAGCGAAGAAGCGATGTCAGCTTACATTGAAGGGGAGTCATGTATATTCCTTGCAAGGTTCAAACTTTGGCCTCCTGCCTCTAGATTTTGCAAAAAGCGGCGAGGCATCCTTTGAGATTCGATACTCGCTTTAGATTACAGACCGAGACTCTGCTGAGTGTTTCGGGAATCTCCTTCCAAAGTGCTTCCGAGGGCACCTACCGAGCCCATGCGGACGAGTCAAGTAACCGAGCGTGACAGTCCGATCAGGCATGTGTCCGGCTTGCATCTGCGATGTGCTCAGATCACAACCAACACATGACCCTTGCAGACCGCGCCCACAAACCTTGTGCCGCCACTCAGCAAGCTCCTCCGCAAGGTCGTCCGGATGAGCCTGGAAAGGCTACCACTAGCAGAAAGTGCCTGCAAACTGTATCCAGGTAAACGGTGCCCCTGCATGCTTCGCCTCATCTTCGATGCGAGAAGTGCTGCCCGAAGCCTGAACTCTCAGGTTTGCATCTTTGCATGCGCACCGCTCCGGCTACCCTTCTTGCTCCCGTCTGTGCTCCACACGGACTCTTCTGCACTGCCTCAATGCACAGCTCTGCGTAGCGAGGGATCTGCACCCCTTCAACGCTCGGCTGGTTCACTTTCTTCTCCACAGCAGCAACAACTGCAGTGCCCGGAAAGGTACACTGGGGCACTTGCATCATGAGTTCCAGGGGAGCACTTTCCGCTTGCATTTGACGTTGCAAGACTTACGGTGACATGTACAGTCAAGGCTGATGAGTTTATGCGAGGCTCACGGCGAGGCTCACTGCGCGTCTCAGCGGTACTTGATGAAGCCAATCTCCTCTGCCTTCTCGCGGAATTCCTGTTTCAAGCAGTAGCATGTGGAATGAACTGAAACGGGAATGCACGCTGGCCTGACGCTTCATCATGATGCCGTACTTGCGGATGAGTGCCATGCCACCGGGGCGGCCAGAGACCCGTGAGGAGCGCAGGCCCTTCGAGCCAGGAAGGCCTCTTACTGGCGTGGAGAAGGGGTGCTTTTGCGGCTGCGCACCATGACCACCACGGGGCCCACCACCTGTTCCTCCAACACCACCCATCATGGCGACGTGGCCTGCCGTGAAGAAAACCTCAGCACGATGGAAGGAAGACAACCCCCTGCATCTCTAATAGGGTCCTTTGCACACGTACTGCTGAAATCGAAACACGGAACCTGGATGGGTGCGTCACTCTTGTAGCACTCCAACGTGTCGCCATCCTTCAGCTGGCGGCTGTTGTAGATCAAGCGCATGTGCTCCGGCTCAATGTTGCACTGCTCCATCGCGAGCTTCTTGATATCACGCACAGCTGCATCACGCGGGCACTCCAGCTGGAAGCTCTGTAGACCAGCCACCTCCAGGATTAAATTGGGTCTGCACGAGTACACCAGCAAACCGTGCGCACCTTGAACTCCACCATGATTGATTCCTCCTTGGGCTCGGGTTCTTTCAGGGTCAGATCGCTCATAGCCTCGACGAGGGTAGCAGCCATAGCCTTCGCTTTAGACATGCTTCGACTCCAAACGAGCACCCCGCTTCTTTCGTTCAAACCTCCCACTCTCTCAGGCCATGACACGAGTCAGTTCCAGGAGAGCAAAAAGCGACTTGTGGGGAATTGAAAGTTGAGCTCACTGTGAGTCTTGGGCCGCCGATACGGCATGTTCCACCGGCACTCTGCAAGCATCGCTACAAGCACCAGCAACGACTTGAACACTATTTTGTAATGTTTTGTAGGATTGCACAGTCAACATAGCTTCATAAGTCCGAGATCGCCGCCGAGCTGCGCAGGCTCCCTGAGCTCACTGCATGCAACAGCCACGCAACTGACCCAGATACAGACGAAGCTTTTGTGCTCAGATCTGTGTCTCTGACGGTTCACTGCTTTCGACGGTCCCGGACTCCATCCGCTCCTATAGTTTCAAGGTGATGCCGTGCTTCTTGCGGTTGAGTCTTACTTCTTATCGTGCTAAGATACAGAATGATACAGAGTAGCACAACAACAGCAAGTCAAAGTCACTTTGCTTGTCTTGCACCTCGGTGTTGCTGCAGAATTCTTTGGCATGGCCAATGGCTGCAGGGAAGGACATTGGGTGAAAGTCATATACCCTGATTGCACCGCTGCACCAGACACATAAGCACCGAAACTCCTGTCACTGACCATGATTCCTGTGAAGGGGGTGGACAACACATGCAATTGCCGCGCAGACACAACTCTGCTTACATTTTTCGGCGTGGCCCGTGAAGCTCACATCGCCTCCAGCTCCGCGCACGAGGTTCGATGTACATCGGCAGGTCATGCTTGTTGCTTTCAGGCAGGATGCTCTTGATCGACTGCCTGCGGAGTGCACGTGATGCGCTTGCAGATCTCTGCGCAGAGAGTGCTGTCACAGCCACTCCCACCTCGCAGCTCACGAATAGTGTGGCACTTGGTGTGAGCCCAGCTGCTTCCAAAGTTTCAGTCCTGTCCTTACCAGCATTCTCACTCGCCTTACAAGTTTTGCTGCGACCCGCTCACCCGTGGTTGGAGTGATCGCTTGAGGTGGAAATTCGGCTGCACGGACAGACAACCCCACGGCCCTGCCAGAGCAAGCAAGAACGTGCGACTAGGTCGTGCTTGCATGGGAGCAGAAACTCCGTGGTCTACTGGGTCCCAATTCAGAATAGGCATTGCGGGTGCATGGAGCTGCCTTTGTCTTGAAGCTGTGTGACCATGTGAGAGAAACAGATTACCACGCCGCTACACAACATCTGCACAAGATGGCTTCCACATGCTTCTGCACAAAAACCTCCATAAACCAAGAGGCTGTGTATGACTTCGGTGGAAAGGCAGTCCTGTGGAGTGAACGGATCAGTTTCGGGCCTAGTGCTTGTGCTATTGAAGCAGGTGTCCTGAGAACACATCCTGGCCGAGCACGAGCCACCCTATTTTTGGAGCGCCACTCAGAAAGGGCCCGCCTCGAACGTGCCGTGCCGCCGTGCCAGCACACGAGAACGCGAGGTGGGGCTCTTTGCTCGCCGAGGCACCAGAGGTCCCCCACTGTGTCACCAAACTCCATCTTCAGAAGCACCTTTTGGCCGCCTTCCAGCTTCACCTACAAGCTCCAAAGCAGTTCAAGCTGAGACGGCTGAGAAGACAGACGCGATCAAACGAAAGAACCCCGTGACTAGAGCATCTAGGGAGACCGAGGTGGCCTGCAAGCGTGCAGCAGGTGCGCTGCCCGGGCGATCTGGCTGCAGCAAGGAGACTTCAGAACCTAGCATGGGAGCCGCTGACTGACTCTGAGCGCAGCTTCTAAATCACTAATATGGCCCAGATGCTGGGTGGCGCAGAAGAGCTTCGATCTGACGGATTTGCTATCCCAAGCCTTGAGGCCAAAGTGCTCAAGCCCGCTTCAATTGCTAATGCAAGGACACTGCCTTTGAGCAACCGCCGCACGCACCTGACCTGCAGCACTCAGATTGGCAAACACATCCTGAATCTGCGCCGCAGATGGAACTCTGAGTCCTAGACAGACCTGACCATTTCGCATGACACGTTCAGGAAGCTTTGCCACAAATCGCTCTGATGCGGTGCGGCTGTCCTCGGTATGCTTTGGTGGTGGCGGGCAGCGTCTTTCGGGAGATGACAGCCCAGCATATGTTTGCTTGATCGTGCGGGCCTCACTTGCACGACATGCGCAATGTAACTAACAAATGAGTCGATCGAGATTTAAAGCTTTAAGTGGAACCCACGCGAGGATAGGGTCTGTGCGGGGCATGTTGCTGTCCTTGTTTACGGTCCGAACTCCTGCAGGCTGCAAGCGATCGCCCCCGTCGCAAAGTTCAGCATCTCCAGCTGCGTCCTTGCGGTACGGCCATATGCCGACTCTTGGAATCTTTCTGGCCATCTGTAGCACGGTTCGAGAATTCCTCCACGACAGAACGACTTCCGGCGAATGTGTACATGAGACGGGAGACAGTCCGCATCTTTGCTGGGTTTGCACACTCGTTACTCTTGGCTTTTCCTGCAACTGGGTGTCCGTTAGCCAGGTCCGGAAGCTGTGCTTGGTGCGATCGACGGCCTGCAGCGCCACGCCTTCTGGATAATCTTCCCGCAAGACGCGCGGCAAGTAACCGTCAAGAAGATTTCCTGAACTTTGGGCTAGTCTAAGATGAACACTGAAGTGAAGCAGCGGTACAAGTTGCGGTGCCGTTAACTTTCAATGACCAAGGGGCGAATGATTTCTTGTGCTGAAGTCATTGCAAAAGGCACAAAGGCGTAATTCGCCAACTTGAGACCTGAACCACGAAAGAATATGTCCAAAGATGTTGGCTAGAAGAGGTACTTGCCAGTTCAAGCCGCGGTCAAGGCCAGCTCGACAAGTTCGTCACTATCAATCATTCTCCAAAATGGAATGCTGGCGTGGCACCATCACTGAAAAATGTCAACGGAAGACGTTGATTGGTGTCGCGAAGATGCCCACGGCAACCAGAGCTCACAATCTCCTACAGAACCAGGCTGAATCTTGTAACGGTCCCACTTCACGCTGAGGCGGTGCGACCTTCCCAAATGCATCGTCCAAGGTGGCATTGAGCTTCTCTATTCGCGACTGAATGACCTCCGCGGGTGGGAGCTGATAAAGCTGTAGTGACATGTTTACCAGTCATGTCTGCAGCAAACTACCCCAATGTCAAAGAGCACCTGGAAGTCAACCGTGACTCCTCCAGGCGGCATTTCCGAAGTATCCGCTGAAGCTGTTGGCTTCCACATGAGACCATGCTCCTGAACTGCCAGGAACGTGGGATTACACAGCCGTTAGCCAGTCGATCAGCAGATGACAGCAACACATAGACACACAGACATACACACACACACACGCACACGCACACACACACACACACACACGCACACGCACACACGCACACACGCACGCCCGCGCGCTCTTATAAAGTCTATTGGGTCAACGCCCGTGATTCCAGTGGTCTTGTACACTTCAGGTCGCTTCCATTTTCCAGAGGTTTGATCGAAGGCGTCTCCGGGGCCAGTGATGAAAGCCGAAATAAAAAAATGTGAGTGTCGGTCGCGTAGGTAGCCGGAGTGGTGAACTTTATGTATCTGGTACCCGAAAGGGTACCCAGGATTCGTGCCATGAATGATTATCCTAAAAAGTCATAAGAACCTGAGACAATCCCAAAGAAGCTGTTGCTGACATGAAGCTTCGATTATCTCGACTCACGCTTAAAACCTTTACAGTCGCTCGCAAACGACCGGTATAAAATTGTTCTATGGAGATGTTTTTAACCTCTTGCCGGCGAGCCTCAGACTCCGTGCTTCTTTTGCAGCTCAGGTCCGTCATGTTATAATTGGTGCACAGAGCACAGTCGCACTCCCGACGACAACAGCAACGAGGTCCTCTGAACCCCATCGAGAACATCGTGAAGTAAGGGATGAGACCAAGCAAAAGCCGAGAGCCACTTCGCGAACCACCATCACCGGGGACACTTCCGGATCCGCGCCTACAGTGCAGACACGGCCAAGGACAAGAAGGGTGCAATGGGGTCATTGGGGCACGGTCGCCCAAACATGACCAGCGTGACCGGCGTGAACCGTCGAGATGGTAACGACACCGCCGTGGCAGCCGCAGCAGCGGGGCAGAGAACGTTATCGGCGCCGAGATGCCCGTCATACCGAGTCAAACCACCGGTCCAGGTCACGAACCTGGACCACGAGGCACAGAGAGCACCGTGAGATGCAAGGGCCTTGGCGCCACCGCCCATCCGGCTGCAACCACAGCAACCACTACTCCCACAAGAACGAGCAGACACCCGGGACTCCTGATGACTCCTGGTCCAGATGCACAGGCCACGTCGCCGAGTGCCCACGCTGTCAGCAGGCACGCGAAGACCAATGCTGCGGTGAGACCCATCAGCCTGCACCAGTTTGAGGAGCGACCTTGGCGACTGAAGCCAGCTCCGGACGGAGCGGCCGCCTCTTCCTCCATTACACCAAGCGCAAGCACACGGGGAAGCAGCCACCTTTCGAATACTCAGGCGGGCCAGGTTGCGCGACTCTGCTCGGCAACAGGACCAGAAGCCCGCCACCGCAGCGGAGGAAGGACACCACAAGCCGACCTTCAAATTTTCAGATAGACGCCGACCTCCCATTCCAAAGCACCGCCCCGGCTCCACCTTACGCTGAGCCCATTAAAAAATCACATTCCAAAAGCACCGCCCCTGCTCCACCGTACGCTGCGCCCACTTTGTCAAGGCCCACACGTACACACGAGCCAATCCAACATGCATGACATCTATGCGTTGCTGAACCGGCCCGCCAGGCCCCGCTGAAGCCGCCCACCACGGCAGCGTCGGCGCCTACGGCGGAGTCGGTCGCCAGTCCGGTTCCAGAGCACAACGGTGGTGGATTGCAAACTTGATCTTGATGTGAAGAACCGGCACCCATCACCGGACAGTGGACATCCATGGCCCATCGGCGCAAGCCCGCGACACAGACGCTGCGATAAGCGCAGCTGTACAAGGAATGCCTGGAAAATCGAACTGCCCGGCCTGCCATCCTATTTCGCGTGCTGCTGTACGAAAAACGCAGCACAACCCCTTCAGGCTGGAGGGCTCTGAGTCTATTAGTGCAGCAGGCCACCACTGAGGTAGGCGGTGATGCAGCAGGCCTCCAATGGACAAATTTGAGCATTCTGCCTGAAGGCCTCGGATCCGGATGGGCTTGATCACAGAAGGCTGACCGAGGGTTCAATGGAGTCACACTCCAATCTGACATGTGCTTTCCACCTTCCCCCAAGGATGCGCACCCCGAGATGGCCAGGCCACTCCCGTCCCCCCTTCCTTCGAGGGAGGACGAGCACGGAGAACCGCGTCACGCCAGCACCTCCACCTCGATGTGTGCTATCTCTGACGGAGGCCCATCTCCGCGTGCTCGGACCAACATGCCCGTTCGACCGGGAAACGGGCTTCATACCACTCCGACTGAATGAGGCCGCTCTGCGAACTCCTTTATTCTCGCCGCGAGCGAGCATCATGAGCATCATTGGCGCCCGGCCAATCCCGGGAAGCGAGCATCATGACCATCATTGGCGGCTCGTTTCTCCATTCCAGGCAAGCCGGAAACACTCCCTCTTCATGCCCGAAAAGGAAGGGGTCTCGTCAGGCGAGAAAACGGAGCTCCAGGTGCAGTCTAGCTCGGGAAACCGGCACCGTTTGACCAGAGTTTGGGGGCCCCTTTCCCCACACCCCTTGTTGGAATCTCCGCTAGCCCCGGAGGCTGGCTTTCGTGATGATTGCAGGAGACAATGCCGTGGAAAGCGACGTCAGCAGATCTAAAAGTCAGCTTCGCCGAGTGAACGCGTTTGAACGTTTTTCCGATGACAATCCACATTGAGCAATGAAGCCTGGACTCGAAACCGCGCTTGAGGCCATGGCTCTGGACAGGGAGCATCGTCGAAGTATGCTCGGTTTTCCGCCGGAGCACTTTTTGCATGCCGACACAGACTGCCACTGGCTGTTCAGCTGAGGAAAAACCAGGCAATACATTTGAGGATTGAGTCGGATTGAGGTTTAAGCTTCCTAAACCTTGAACCATCAGCCGGTAAATGTAAAATGCCGCAAGCATTCAATTCAAGTGCCCAAAGCATTGAATTCCTGCATTCCTGTAAAGTGTACCCGGCAAACCAACCAAACACAAATTCCTGTGTAACGCGATGTGCTGCAATCTACAGCATGTTTGCAAAAAAAATGCCTACATATTAAAGAACTGTCCTTGCTTTACAAGTTCATATCTTGTGTCCTTTGAAACATGGAAAGCACAGAAAACCGCGCAAATACCGATGCGTTTGGCACTTGTGAATACATGGAAATCCAGACACACAAAAAACCGGCGCTACCGAGGCTTTCGGCCCCTGAAGCGTATGAAATGATGTAAAACCGGTGTAATGGGCATGCACGTGAAGTGCGTTTACATCACATCGCAGCGTTGTTATGGTATGCGACCGGCGTCGACGAGACGGTGCTTTTTGTGCACATCGAGGACATGCAGGATAGCCACCGTGTGCAAATTGCAAATCGCTGAGGCATCACTGTGCATGTGACCGAGGTAGTGGATGGAGTTAGTGTTCTGTTGGAATTGATTTGAAACGACGGTGATTCTTTCTGGGAGTCGTCCCTGCTCTGTCATTTTTTGCGCAGTGTTTTGAGTGGTGGAAAAGACATGGATGGCAATAATGGCAGTATTTGCGTCGCGGCGTAGATGTTGGAGACCGAAATTTGTTGGCGGATGGCATCAAGGAAAGCGGTGTGCAAGGCGGTAGTCGCTTTGTTCGTGCCGTTGGATGCGGCACACTGCTGGGTGCCGTCATTGGCGGATATGATGGATATTTCGCAGCCTGCTCGGAGCAAAAGGATTGCTCCAACGTAGGCTTCTGATGTGAGCAAAGCCTACCCTGCTACGTTATAGAGATCGTACAACTAGGTCAGTTGCAGCTGCATCCAACTGCAATCCATCATAAAGTCGCATGGTAGGTTAGAAATAACAATAGCAGCAGCGCAGAGGTCATAGTGGCTATCACAGTCTAAACACGCACGTAAGCATGTACACCGACGAAAACCCTGTGCACTTGATTATTGCTCTGGTATTAAATATCTTCAGGGATTGGGCTGATTCATTTGGAAGTGGTGGTTGTGGGGATACGTGGTGTCGTGGAAGTTCATCGCATGGACTGGGAGGATGAGTCACGTGTGAGACTGTGAATGTCGCATGGGTCATCGGTGGAGGCAAGTGCTCTGGGTCGCTGGAATCGTTGCAGGTGACTTGAGGATTGTGGACTTGTGCTCATGTCGTTCTTGTTCGTCATCAATGGTGCATGGATGGCGGTGGAATGCACGTAGGATTTTCGATGAGGGTGATGGGCAGTTGTGTGACGACAAAGCGTGACCAGGTCGCGTCAGAGGTCCTAATGCTGGGGCCCACCCAAGGTAAGCAATGTGGCTTGATGGGATAGGAACCAGGTGCAGGCGGTTGGAAGTGGGCCGTACGACCGGGGGTAGCGTTTGCAGGATGTGGTGCAGCTCTTGCATCTGCTGCGGGGACATGGACAGATTGAACCAAGGACTTGGTGAAGTTGATGGTCGAGGTTGAATGTGGCTGGTACTGGACGAGGGCTTCGTTCCATTGCAGCTAAGTGGCGAAGACAGTAGAAATCGAGTGTCAAGCGCCAAAGCCGGCTGCAGAGAAACAAAGGCTATGCACTGTTCATGCCACCTCGCAGTACAAGCATGGGTATCGTAAGTGCACAAGCTGCCGGTAGACCTAGAACATCTTAGCAGTAAACAGTTCGACCTTCAGAAACAGTAAGAAAGAAAGGATAAGATCAACAATCATGCACAGAAGCTCCAACCCTGTTGTTAAGGATTCATTATTCATTATGAACCAAGAGATTGCCAGGACACACACACACACAGACGCAGAAAAACACTAGCTGTCACCATCTTTCACCAGGCTGCTGCCAGCAGCTGCTTCATCACCTCGACCTGCCTGCGCAGATGCTTGCATTCAGCTTCGGCAGCTTCGGCGAAGGAACCACCACCTCCGATGCATTGTGAAGCTGGCAGAATTTCGACCGAGATGAAGCAAGATTGCCATGTCTGCCTGATGACTGATATCCGCCCTGTGCGGCCAACTGCGAACGCATTTCTTCAATCTCTTGTGTCTGTCTGTTCAGCTTGTCCTTCAGGGTCCTTGGCATCAAGGAAAGAAGCATGGATTTCGACAGTGGCAAACAAACAAAGGCATACGAATGAATTGGAAACAAAGAGACTGTCGGTTCAAAAACAGCTCTCTGCCTTTCAACCGCTTCCTGATGGTTTGTGCTAGCCCAGAGCGAATCAGAACGGCCGATAGATTGTGGCGATTTCTGAACACCTTGTGCCTAACAGCCATGCAGTTTGGGAGGCCGAGCGTTTGGACTGAAGGCATGGACATGAAAAAAACTGGCGAATGCAGCGACAAGAACCGCTCCCTCCCGGGACTTGCTGTATCAAAGTCGTCATTCTCGATAGAAATTTCAGTGATGTATAAAGACGTACAGACAACTTCTACCTGCTCTTGGTTGAGGCTGCACCCATTTCAGAGCTGAAAACCTTTTCCTGAATTCACCTGAGGGTCTTGTTCTGCTGCTCCACCTGGGCCAGCCGCGAAGCCAGGGTTGCAACCAGATCGTCGTTCGATCGCTGTCGCGCCCCAGCCTCCGTAAAACGAAACGAGGTACTGCAGTACAAACGAGCGTGCCGCACCTCTCGTCCCACTGCTGCCACTCCGGCTGCCTGCAGTCTTGGCAATGGAGGCCGCGAGCCTGGTAGCGTGTCGCATTGAAGCGACGCTTGAAAAGTCCAAAAGGAAGAGAAGAGTAGAAGATAGTGAAAGAGTAGCTGTCAGTTGTCAATTCCGATCCTCCTCGAGAAGGCGCCGACTTCGGAGCTTTTAACTCCCGCGGCGATCTCGGCGGGCGCTCCTAGACAAGACTGTGACATGGTGGGCATAGGGCCCAGAGCCTGAAGCACAGGGACCGCTTGGCTGCTTCTCCTCCTGCAGGAGGGCTGCAACAAGGGAGTGCTGTATCTCTGGCTCCAGCCCTTCTGGAGATCCTGTCACGCAAACGAGATCTTGCACGAGACTCGCGGTGCTAAAGCGCCACAAATGCGCCTGATTGCACGAACCGGGCAACCTGGCCCTGTAGGGCAGCCATCGGTTGCCATGTCGATGTGGTATTATGTGATGGCTTTGATTCCTCCACACTTCCCTGAGTGAAAAAGCCTGCTAAGAGTCTCGAACTGGATTCAAGAGAGAAGCAGCTCCCTAGCAAAATAACCATGGGTGCAGAGCTAAGCATGTCAAACGGGACGCCAAGCTGCAAAATACTGCCACATCATGCTGCAAAGCGTGTGAAGTGAGCTTTGTCCAACTGATTGCATCGACCCACGGAAGCCAGTACATACAGAACACAGATTTTGATTCTTGGCTCTCGTGGCGAGACAACGCGACCTATCTCATTCTGACAGGAAATAGACTTGCGCGATCCCGACCTCGGCTCGACATGTCCACATTGCCAGGATCCGTCGCGAAGCCCAGCCAAGAACAACTTCGGGCCACGGCAATGGCACCAAGGACGCCCCCGAGTAAAATCAATATCCACCTCAAGCTTTGTTGCACTGTCTCGCCGAGGTGCCTATGCCTGCACAGCCTTTCTCCTTGAGTTGCGCTTACAGTGACTTTCTGCAGGATGGAACGTAGCAACGCAACCCGTGCATCTACCTGCGTTGCCCCCTGAGCTGCTCAATCAGGTCCAGGGTGGTCCGTCGCTGCTTGATCTTATGAGGGCCATCTGTCAACATGAGGTAGTACCTGGAATATGTCGTCAATGAGGGATCGGTGAGATACAGATGAAGAACACGCAAAAAAACAACAGATATCGTGGTCACAGATATAGCCGTCGCGACTCTTACAGATACAGACATGCAGGCCATGGATGTCTCATAGAAGTAGAAACTGACACGAAGAAAACCATGCACTACGAAAAGACAGAGTTGTCAAGAGATGATTCCAACCCCAACCAACTCCAAAGGAAAAATGACAGGAGCCGAAAGTGCCAGCAATCCCCCACAAGCCCCAGCGTGACACAGGCTCCCGGCTCATCTTCTTGGAAGACAGGGTGCAGGAGGCGTTCAAACTCATCTGGTGGCCTCACAAATCCGTGATCTGCCTCACCAAGCTGGCCAAAGTTCCAAAGCTGAGAGCAGAAATGAGAAGAGTAGGAGTCCAACATCTTCTGCATGGCCACGGCATTCGACCTGCAGAATGCGTGGGGGAAACGGGCATCGCAACGGCAATCAGCATCCGCTGCACGCCTAAAGACATCGGTTGCCACTGCCAGGTATTGCGAGGCCTTGGTCGAGTCGTGCACAGCCAGCCTCTGCTGTCCCAAGTCACACTGAGCACAGCACCGCCTGCTGCAACTCATCGTTCTCTGCAATGCGCTGTGCGGAAGCCTTGGGTACGAAGTGATCACTCAAAACCACTGTAAACATGGTGCACTCAAGACTCGTTCAGGGCTTGTACCAATAAACCTCGCCCGTCTAGGAAGATGTTCGGCTTCACATCGTGCCGTTGAACAGATGGACACAACCAACCCTGCTGCCTCTTTGTGCGAACTGCTACATCTGACATCGAGGATCTCTACCAGTAACGCGGCAAACCTCCGCAGGCGTGTCTGAGTTTCGAACACCAACCAAGTCATCCTGCCCAAGGCAGCTGGGGCAAATGGCTTCGACTCTGAAGCTGGGCAGTTGGGAGGGGAAGACAACAGATGTCAAGGAGCCATCTGCGCATGCAGTCAGGTAGCCATGCACGAAACAAACATGGAAATCCGGTGTGCTTTCCTCACTCGGCTGCGTACAAGCTGTCCATTGGCTGTGGATTCAATCTTGTTCCTGCTTGTTGTGCACCCAGTACAGTCCACGGGGGCGTCGTGCCAAAGTTTGGTCTGTCTTTGGTTCCTTCAGTTATATCCTAAGTTCCGTTTCTTCTTTATTTCTGTCGTTCATTCTTTCTGTCTTCCCGTCTTTCCACTTCTTTCTTCGTCTTTCTTAGTGTCCTTCGTGCCATCATGTTTTATTTCCTTCCATCCTTCTTTCTGTCTGCTGTTACTGTATTTCATGTGCCCTTCCTTCTTTTCTTCCTTCCTTTCCTTTCTTTCTTTAGAGGAGGTGGTGCGACCCCCACCCCTGCACTCAAGGCGCCACCCACAGTGCATGCTTTTTCCTTCTTCTTCCACACTCTCTCTGAAACAGGATTCCCCCATTGCTCGCTTGCAAACAGCAATTCCCCGGAAGCAGCTGCCAGGCTCCTGCCAGGCCTTAAGCCAAAAAAACCGCCGCAACGGTCCCAGGCCCTCCCTTCTTGGCCGTCAGCCTGCACTGCTTGGAGCTTGTGAGAGCCAACCGCGACCGGAGCCTCAGAAAAGTCTTTGCGATCTCCAATGAAGTCTGCCGTCGGATCCACCGGAAGTGCCCATGCTCGGGAAAGCCCTCCCACAGGCTGCGTGAAGGTCCAGGCCAGTTTGTGTATACTAGGTCCTTTCTTGTGCAGCCATCCGGCATATCGGGCCCCTGTCCGACAGGGCACTTTCGGACGGCAGCTTCGCCGGTCAAAGCTTCATGTTGCAATCTGGATTCCTGGTGATGCAAGACATATTGCCTCGCTGCTTCACTTCACTGCTTTATGCTCTGCTTGATTGTGTGAATTGTCATGAAACACGTTACGTAGTCTGAAGCTTCGGACCGCTGTCCTGATTCTGGGACTCCTGAGAGCAAGGTTTCAGCGATGTTCCCTAGTGCTGCACTGTCCTGTTCTTGTTCTACTACCCTGCTTCGTCTTCATCTTTCTACTTTGTTTGTAAGTGACCGGCAATCCATGTGCCCGCTTTGCCCATGGTCTGCTTCATCATGTTCTGGATGTTCTGGTTGTAGATGTCCTGCACGGTGGCTGACCATACTCTGCCTAGCATGTTTGAACCATGTCGTCCCTTCCGCAAAGGGCGTTGGTCTATCCGTCCTGCAGATCTGCCCAAACGGGGATGGTTTGCAGGTATGATATCACCTGATCAGTAAGAGCATCTGTCATGACTCATGATCACTGGAACAGATCCAACACACGCATGTTGCCTTGTGAAAATCGAAGAAATGGTCCACCAGCAGCTTGGCATAGAGAGTTGCTACGTCCCTGATGTTGGCTGCAGCCGTGAAGCGAAGTCATAATCAGCAATTGACCTGCCTCTGTCTCTTTAAAAAAAGGCCCTGGATGCTGCCCAAGTACCACCCACACACCTGAACTTCGGACGATGTGCCATGCAGTGATTTCAGACTGTGTAGCAGCCAGACATCTGGATAAGGAAAAACTGTGCAGCACGTCTTTCAGTGAGACATGTGCCCGAACAGGCCGTGGATGGCACGGCTTGAAGCACATTTGTATTGCCAGCCTGCAGCGTCAATCAATGTGCAGTCACCAGACCACACAATAGATGGGCTCAATTAAGCGAAAGTCCGACAAGCTGTTTTCTCCGAGCAACCAGTTGGTGAATATTCCCAGGAAGAAACCTGTTCCTGGCAGTAGTATCATCCTGCCTCACATGCGAGCCAGCGCCATGCAGGCTCGCGACAGCAAAATCCAGCTCCGTGGGCAAGTTCGCACGCATCTCAACTCGTGGCTTGTTGGCTTGCCGGGCCTGTTGCGTCCAAGTAGTTGAAGGCAAGCAGCCTCGCTCAATTGCAGCTGAAGCATCTTGTGCCATGCGCAAATTTCACTAGCTGAATATCGTAGCAGTTGGAACTGCCTGTGCGCACTCCAGCTAATTCATCACAGATGCTGGATGAGGCCACAAACAAAGCCCAGCACCGCCCCAGATCCTCGGAAACTTCGAGAAATCGAGCATGAGACCAATCCGACACACCGCACCCAGCAACCGAGAGACGTGCGCTCAATGAAACGGAACTCTCGGTCTCCCATGGACAGGAAAAAATGGTTCAAAAGCTCCTGGAACGTTGGGAGAATGCAACACAAGCTGCTGTGCAGGGAATGAAAGCTCTGCCATCATGTGCTCCCTTCGTTGCATGTTACGCAACTTCAACCTTCACCTGTCTTGCACTGAGCCTTAAAGAGTGGAAGATTATGAAACCTTAAGCATCGAGAAAACATGAGAAAACTGCTCATACGAGAACAGGGCAACCTTGGCTTCCGCATCTACAAAACACCTCGGCTTCCGGATCTCAAAAGCTACGGATCAGCCGTTCCGGAGGGCATTCGTGTGGGATTTAAAAACAGAATTAACGAGTGTCCTGTAAGCACTTCGAGCAGCAAGGTAACACCGAACATGATCTCAACCATCTATCTATCCAGCAATCCACCTATCCATGCATGCATACGTACATTCATCCACGTGCCAGTCCGAGCATCCGTCCATCCGTCCATACATCCATCCATCCATGCATATATCATTCCATAGACCCTTCGATAAACGGTTCTGTAAACCATTCTATACACCTTTTTAGCTTCTAAACCTATCTGCCTATATTCCCCTCTCTAAAAACTCTGAAAATTCTTCACACCTTCTATGAACTATAGAAACCGGTTTATATAATCCCCTCCATCAAACCCTTCTATGAACCTCCGTATGAACCCTCGACCAAAGCCTATGTATTGGCGAGATTCAGGACAACGGCCAAAATGCTTGCCCCCAAGTACTGGCGATTCAAAGACATGACTCAACTGACCAGTTTGCTTCGCCCAAGTACTGGCGAGATTTACCGGCTCGGCCGAACTGCTTTCCCCCCAAGTACTGGCGGGATTCAATCAGATGACCAAACTGCTTCTCCCAACTATACTGGCGGGATTTACCAGAGCGGCCGAACTGCTGCCCCACAAATACTGGCGGGATTCGAACAGGGTCTTGTACAGCTTGGCTGTATCTTCGCAGCGCGAGATCACGAGTTGAGTACTCCGCCGCCTGGGACGCGATTGCAGTGCCGAACCTTTCCCATGTTCTTTTGCCTGATGCAGCCGGGGTTGCTGTTGTGTTGCCGGGGTTCATCTTCCTATCTTCCGATGTTTCATTTCTATCCATCTCTATATTCTCGTAATGCATGCCAGTCTTTCGGACCTGTTGCGCTGGTGCTCGTTGAGTCGCACGGGGCACTCATGCTTGGGCCGAACTAAGGCTCGGGACTTGTGGCGTTTGCGTCTCGTTCTAACAGTTAAACACGCATGCTCTTATCCCCATCCTTTCACCACCACCCGAAAGATTTTTGAAAAAAGGGGGTTGCAGCAAACCGACCAGGTGCGCAAACTCTGGCAACGAGCAAATGTCTGAAACGTCGAGGCATCCAGGCCACGAAGTCACCGGTGCACACACAGGCCGTTAACCAAAGTCGGCAGTTGGTGCATCACGCTTATTGCAAGGCTGTACCAAGTGTGGAAGCATCGGGCTGCCTTGTGCTCGCTGAAAACAGCCACGATCATGCCGTCGTTGTCAAGACCTGCAGTCCACAGGTGTAACTAACAACCCTCCGGCCCAAGTCATCATCAACCGGCCTATCACAGGATCACAAAGCTTTGTTGTGACTTTGTGCCACATGTCTGGAAAGCTCTCCTGCAAAGTCCGCACAGGACCACGCGCAGTTGCGCCAAACTACCCACCTCGATTTTCTCCATTACGATTGACACCAGCTCGTTTTCCACGCTCGGAGGCAAGCGCCCATCTTTGGCCTCAAATCTGAGAAGGGCAAGCCTTTGGGCGGCGTGCATCTTAAGCGACGGGCAAGCATCGACGGGAAGTGGCGTCTTATCACACTTGCCATGGAAGCCTGAGCTTGCAATACAGTCAAGCTCTGTAACGTAGAGTTGTAGTGTCAGTCACTCAGCAGCGGTCCCGCGCGACCCGCTCCAGCATGGGATGAATCTGGCAGCAAGGCAGAGATCACAAGAATTGCCCGCGAATGCTGCAGGTTCTGGGATTGAACAAGCCAGAGCACCTTCGCAAACAGCAAGCTCGTATCCACGCGAGCAAACCAGTCAGTCGGCCCCATGAGATACGGCCTTTTCGCCAGGACAAATTCAGGCAGTCAGGGCCAGGCTATGTCTCGACTATGTCAGGCTGTTAAGCAAATGCGTCTCTCTGGCCTTGCACAACTAAACGCAATCCTGCCCATCTTCTCGGCTTTCCTGCCATTTAGGTCTTTGATGCAAGCTACGCAGCAGCAGAATACTCACAAAACAAGCAAGCCTCGGAATGACTCCCTGCCAGCCAATGCCGATGCCTGTGTTGGCGTACCTGCGACTTGTGAGCAAGTGGAACAAGGTGAGCGGGCTACTATCTGCAACGACACTGGCTCACTGCCAAATGCCAAAAAATCGGATTGGAAGGAACCTTATTTGAGACGCCGACCGCATAAAATGAGCGAGGATGGCGCAAGCCCTTCGAGGGTCATGCATCATCTTGATGGCTAGCCATATGTGGAACCTTAGCTAAACAATTCAGTCTGACATCAAACCTTGCATATTTCGCGAAACTTGGCACATCGCCACGTGAAGAATAAAGCCACTACTGGAATGGATACCAGCAGGGCAGTGCGGTAGACCTGGAGCAACCGCTTCGCTTGGCGACTGAACGGACAACTTAAACGACTTGTTCGATTATGTCTGCTCTCTGTACTGTATCTACAGGCCGTAGCAAGTGAACGTACAAACACCTTGTTTCATTGGGTTGCTTGCTGCGTCGTATTGGCTCGCAATTGCGGCGATCTCTAGCATCTACTCTTTTGCCACCAACACCCTGCACTCTGTGCAGCATCGTTGTGCTTTACAGGTAGAGGGTTGTTTAAGGCTCTGCAGGTTCAGGGTGTCGACGGTGTGCTACTTAACAAATCTCTTCTTCAGCACGCTTCTGGTTACAGGCAAAGTGAGGTCAGCAAGATCAAGCACGCCAACTTCGAGCTCAAGCACCCAGTCCTTGTGTTGATGTTCTGGTGGAAGCTGGTCATAGTACCAGGCCCAAAGTAACAGGCCACCAATCAAGAAGAACACGATGGCCAGCACATTCCTTCACGTCTTCAATTCCCTAACATACCCCGACAGTGCTCACCAAGACTGTGGCAGTTGGAGCTTCAGCCATTCCATCTTCCGTTCAATTCCAGCCATTGCCTCGGTTTGTGGACAATGCAAACGGCCGGCATTTCCCCGAGAGGTGCTGGCAGCATCGTGACGTTCAGCAGATGCAGACTTCAAAGGCGAAGTTTCGCCATCCTGGCACGTAGGCGTGGCAGCAAGGGCGCAGGGGCGGGGATGCAGCTCCCGCTTGGGCGTCCTCCAAGCGGACATAAGCTTCCAAGGTGTCGCCTCAGAGCTGACACGCGACGACTACGTATGCAGCGAATGAACAGCAGGCACAATTGCCTGAGTGTGCTCCCATCCTCAGGCACGGATCTCCTAGTGGTTCCTAACCCATCGACTTGGATGAAGTCTGACGGTCACTCACCTTCATGGATTGGTCCGCTGCTGCGAGTAAGTAGTGTACAGTACGGGTCGTTGTGAAGGCATTGCGAAAAGCTAAGTGAGACACATCTAGTACATAGCACAGCATATCTCAGCTGAACCGCAGAATTTCCAACTCCAAGTTAGAGCCAATCTGCGAAAGCATTGCGGCACGCGAGTAATCCTCAGCCTGCGTGACCGAGGCAGCCGAACAGAAAAGCTCGTCTAATCTGAAAGCACAAGCATGAGCCACAAGGAAAAGGACCAATGCAACCGAAAGCAGTACCGAACAGCCAGTCAGCAAGCAGAGTGCCAGCTACAACAAAAAGGGCCTACGGTCCTATGGCAAGGACGACAACGAATACATGGAAAGCTTCCATGGAAAGCTTCCGGGTGACGAATCCCGACTGTAACGTTCTCCCTTTGCGGGAACCTGCAGAAGGCCATGTCTTTTTTGCAATATGTCGTTTGCGCGTGTCTTGTATGATGTCTAAGCCTCTCGTTGCCAGAGTGCGAGTCCGCTCTTGGAGCTACGACGCTTCAGGCCGGTCGTAGAGAATTTCTCTACTTTACTGCCACTGGCACACAGACGCCACAGCTGACACTGCAGCAAGCTCCTTGTTAACCTGTGAAACACGGTGGCAGCTCAAGCAGCTCCCGACATGTTTCTCAGCAGATCTTCTAATCTGGAAATCTCGTCCATCTCCTGCTGAATCTCCTGCGTGGTTCAGTCACCAACACGTTCTGAACACAAGGATTGCCTAGCTCTCTCGTTGAATTCCAAAGGCCTTGGAACGCCGGCGCCGTTCGTCAGCCTTGGTGCACGGCTGGGCATGCTAGTCATTGCCATGGTTTGCAGCTTGCCACGCGGACTGCTGTAGATGAGGCTGCCTTCAACATGAGAATGCACATGAATGGGGCGATGGATCAAAAGACACTTAGACTTAGATCAAAAACAAGCCCTAAAAAACAAAAACAACATAAACACTTGATCAAAAAGACATCAAAGGAGCTATGCACCAGGTCTGAGTCTAGCCACAAACCAAAGTGATAAATCAAACAACTGAACTGGTATAATGAAATAAACACGGGAGGAGAAGTGGTGGTAGTAGTAGTCGTCGTGGTCGTAGTAGTAGTAGTAGTAGTAGTAGTAGTAGCAGTAGCAGTAGCAGCAGTAGAAGTAGCAGTAGCAGTAACAGTAGCAGTACAAGTAGCAGTAGCAGTAGCAGTAGCAGTAGCAGTAGCAGTAGCAGTAGCAGCAGCAGTAGCAGGGGCAGTAGCAGTAGCAGTAGCAGTAGCAGTCGTAGTAGTAGCAGCAGCAGCAGCCGGAGTAG